CTACAAATCATTGGTCAGACCACATTTAGAGTATTGTGTTCAGTCTGAGCACCTTATTTAAGGAAGGATGTTGAAGCAATGGAGAGAGTGCTAAGGAGATTTACAAGAACGATACCAGAAATGAGAGATTTTAGATACAAGGAGAGATGAAAGAAATTGGGCTTATTCTCCTTGGAGCAGAAAAGATTAAGAGGTGACTTCTTGAGGTGTTCAAAATTATAAACAATTCTGACAGGGTAAAGAAGGATATTCTGTTTCCACTAGCTGGTATGTCAGTAATTAGGAGTCACAATTTCAATATTGTCAGCAAAAGAGCTAGGAGTGGGATGAGAAGAAATTTAACTCAGAGAGCTGTTAGAATTTGGAATGTGCTGCCTGGGAGAGAGATTTCAAAAGAGAGCTGGATACATGACTGAAAAGGATGAATTTATGGGGCTACAGAGATAGGGCTGGAGAATGGTAGCTCTTTCAGGAGCTGGTACAGACATGATGGGTCAAATGGCTTTCTTCTGTACTATAAAATTTTATGGTTGTGCGATGATGGAGGGAACAAGTGTTTCTGGATGGGATGCCAATTAAATGGGCTCCTTTGTCTTGGATGATGTAGAGCTTCTTCAGTGTTTGGAAGGTACTGTCCAAAGGTCTTTGACAAGTTACTGCAATGCATCTTGTACATGGTACATGCTATTGGTTCTGTATGAAGTGCTGGAATTGGTAGAATTTTTCCTCTCAATGAAGCATAGAGACCTTCTTACAAACCTGACATTTTGTGTACAGAGTACCATCTAGTGGTCAAGGTATGATATTGATGACGGACCAGTTAGGACAACTCACCAACAGCATTTAGGTCGTGATCAATAGCTTTTACAGGCAAATCATTGTTCCAAATAATTAATTGCAAGTGCACTTGTCTGAGAGATACCAGTAATAAAGTGATTCTAGAATTGGTGATTGCCAAAAGCGGCTTGCAGGTCTGACAATGAGACTTGAGGCTCTTTGAACTGGAGGATCAGACTCAAATAGCAACTGATTGTTTCAGAATGATAGGTATCTTCTTCGAAAACCTTCTTCCCAACAAATAGAATCAATTCAGAAACAGAAATTGCTGGAGAAACTCAATAGATCAGGTAGCATCTGCAGGAAGAAAGCAGAGTTAACATTTCAAGTCTAGTGATTCTTTCAAAATGTTAACTCTGCTTTCTCTCCACAGATCTGTGGAGTTTCTCCACCAATTTCTGTTTTTGTTTCAGATCTTCAACATCCACTGTTCTTTGTTTTAGAGAAATAGAAACAATAAATTAGCCAACACAATTTTTTTGTGTAGATAAGCGATTGAATTACAAATTAAGACAAGCCTTTCACATTGTATATAAACAATTCTTCCAGCCACATTTCTGAGCTCACTATCTTCGAAAGGAATAAAATTGTTCATGGGACATGTCTAGGCTGACAATTACTTCCTAAAGGGCAGTTTAGAGTCAACCACATTGTTGTGGATCTAGAGTCACATGTAGGCCAGACCAGGTCAAGATAGCAAGTTTCCTTCCCTCGAGGACATTAGTATATCAGTTGGTTTTTACAACTGACTGTGCTTACATGGTTGCCATTCAACCAGCTTTTATTTTCCTCCCAAATTTTTATTGCATTCAAATGTTACCATCTACCATAACGGGACTTGAATCCATATCTGTAGAATATTAGTGTACAGATCTGGACTACTAGTGTAGAGATATTACTAATACACCAACTATATATTGCAGACCCTACCAATGATTCAGAGAAGTTTGTTTCAGTGACAAAGTCAGGCCTTTTTTTTGAGAAACGGTAATTAAAAGGTCATGATCCAGATCTTTGAAGTGAATGTACTTACATTTATAATATTTCTTTAATTCATGATGTACAAAAGACCATTACAGCTAAATAAGAACTCTATTGCGTTGCTCCTGTTCTAATGCAATAAAACACTAACAAGTGCAGTTAAATGATCAATCGCTGTCCTACCAATATAGAACATTTACATCAGCAGGTCCCCACTGTATTGTTTTCTTGTACAAATAGACCACAATTCGGTAGCTGAGGCCTTCTGCTGACCTGCAGGGGATCAAGGAGGTGGCTCCCAGTGATATGGGCACACCCTAGCGACCAACAACCAGGTCCCAGTCTTGGGTCAAATAGTCATCTAGTCCCCACCCACTAACAGACTGGACCATCACACTAGGCAGAATACAGCAGCTAGTGCTGTGAGCTAAAGGGCTGGTGTCTTCTTTTCTCCCCAGTCTCCTCTGCTGGAGTACCCCAGGAAACATGGCACGATGCATAGCTTTGAGACTTTATCAGGAGATCCCTGAGGAATTGTACAGACGCCTGGCTTCAGGAGAATGTCAGCATTGATGCTGCTCATGAGTTCAGAACAATGAGTATTTATTTTTAAAAAATAAAATTGCACAATGCTATGCTGTTTGCACAGGGGGAATGGATCTCAGGTTTTCAGTATAGAGATGAATCTTAATGAAAACCACCGAGTTTAATTTCCTTTTTATGCCCAATTTCTGGATTGCAGCAAGAGCAGAAAAATGAACCCAAGTTTGGTATCAGAGATAGTAGGAACTGCAGATGCTGGAGAATCTGAGATAACAAGGTGTAGAGCTGGATGAACACAGCAGGCCAAGCAGCATCAGAGGAGCAGGAAGGCTGACATTTCAGGCCTAGACCCTTCTTTAAAAAAAAGCATTTCTGAAGAAGGGTGTAGGTCTGAAACGTCAGGTTTCCTGCTCGACCTGCTGTGTTCATGCAGCTCTACACCTTGTTATTCCAAGTTTGGTATTGGTGTTAAAGATAGTGATGGTGCGCCCTCCTGTGGCTGAATTCTGAATACATCTCTCACCAAGGTGAAAAGCAATGTGTATTTATAGTTATTCTTTAGAACACGATCTTTTTAACTGCAACATCCAGGAGATCCTAACTTGCCTTCCTTTTAAACAGCACAGTAGTAGTGTCACTACCTTTGAGTCAGGAGGTTTGTGTTCAAATCTCACCCACTCCAGAGGTGTTTGATAATGTTTATGAATGGGTTGATCAGAAAATATCTCCAATAGCTTTCTTAAATATCACTTTTGTTTTTCTTCCCACAAAAACATTTTATCCATTGATGATGGCAGAGGCTCTGTTGGTAACACCCTCACCTATCAATTTGGATTCAGGTCCTACTCCAGAGGTTTTGATGCACACCCCAGACATGTGCTTTAGAATAGAATAGCATCCCTACAGTGTGGAAACAGGCCCTTTGGCCCAACAAGTCAACGCTGACCCTCAGAGCACCCACCCAAACCCATTCCCCTATAACCCACCTAATCTACACATCCCTGAACACTATGGGGCAATTTAGCATGGCCAATCCACCTAACCTGCACATCTTTGGACTGTGGGAAGAAACCAGAGCACCCAGAGGAAACCCACGCAGACACAGGGAGAATGTGCAAACTCCACACAGTCGCCTGAGGGTGGAATCGAACCCGGGTCCCTGGTGCTGTGAGGCAGCAGTGCTACCTAGTGAGCCATGTCCTGCCCCTGTGCTTGAAGGATCTCACTTTTTATTGAGGTACTGTTACAGGCAACAGCTTTTGCATCATCCATTAAAGCAAAATAACTCGTGTAATTTCAAAACACAGCAAGGAAATGCACCAACTCAAAATCGACATCACCAATTCTGACACTTTTTTTATTAACTCATGGGATGTGGGCATCAGTGACTGGACCAGCATTTATTGCCTATCCCTGGGCACCCTTGACCACTTCCATCTAAAAGAAGAAGGGCAGCAGATACACGGGAACACCACCACCCACATGTTCGTTTCCAAGACACTCACCATCCTGACTTGGAAATATAATCAACGTTGCCATCCCTGAGGGCATTGTGAGTCTACCTACTGCACATGGACTGTAGCAGTTCAAGAAGCAGCTCACCACTAACATCTCAAGGCTAACTAAGGATGGACAATAAAATGCTGGCCTAGCCACCAACGCCCAGGTCCCACAAGTAATTTTTGTTTTAAATGCCCCCAGTTCTAGAATCCCCAACCAGTGGAAATAGTTTATCAATCCTGTCTTTTCCTGTTAATATCTTGAAGACTTCAGTAAGATCATTCCCTAACCTTACAAATTCTAGAGAAAACTCTGCCTCAATGTCAGTAAAACAAAAAGGAGCTGGTCATCGACTTCAGGAAGTGAAGTGAGGACAGGCTCCTGTCTGTGTCAATGGTGCTGAGGTGGAAGTGGTCGAGAGTTTCATGTTCCTAGGAGTAAAGATCACCAACAATCTGTCCTGGTCCATCCACGCCAACTCTACAGTGAAGAAAACACACCAAAACTCCTTCCTCATATTTTTTGGGCTCTAGGCCAAAATGACGATTTTGCTTCCTTGTTGTGACAGATGTAATCTTCCAAGTCAAAATACATCTTAAGTAACGGATTAAACAATTCAGAATTTAGCAAAAACTGCAAGTCATAAAGTGATTCAACGAAATGGAAATTCTGAGAGGTGCAATGCAGGTTAGCTTCCTGATGCTGTGGGGACAAACTGAGGGGAGGGGGAAGGTTGAGGCCTTAGGTGTGGCTGGGATGCTGAAGGGTTAACAATAATTTTCTGCCCACTGGGTTAAGGGAATACATTAAATAGCCAGCTCACTGACACAAAGTTACACACATTGGGCATTCCTATTTCACCTGGAGTCATGTGTAGGCCAGACTGCATCAGGATAGCAGATTTACTTTCCCTGAAGGGGTGAACCAGATCAGTTTTTATGGCAAAAAGAACAAAGAACTGTGGATACTAGAAATCTGAAACTAAAAAACAGAAATTGCTGGAGAAACTCAGCAAGTCTGGCAGCATCTATGGAGAGAAAGCAGAGTTAGTGTTTCAAGCCCAGTGACCCTTCACATGAGCCCTTTGTTTGTTTTTAATGACCGTTGGCAATGCATATATGGTGACCATTAGGCCAGCATTTAATTCCAGGCTTTTATTGAATTCAAATTTCACCATGTAGTGTGGTGGGATTCGAATCTATGCTCCCAAAACATTTGTCCAAGGTTCCAGATTACTAATCCAGTGACATTACCACTATGCCACAACCTCGCCATAATAGCCTTTCCATTACAATACTGCACTCTACATAGAATTCAAATAGAGAAAAGGATTTCTCTTTAAAATCACTAAAAATCAATGCATTAGCAAGTCAAATTGCAGCTGCTCCCCAATATAAATTAAAATTCAAAATGTAAACATGCAGTGAACCCACAACCTTCTCACTTTGAGTATATGCATTGCTAAGATATTATGAATGACACAAATTTCCCACATTAGATCTTGCTATGCAGTCCATCCAATGGAGATGTTTGGGAATGTCATGTTACACCACTTATCTGCAGCACTATGGGGTGAGATCTCTAGCAGAGCTTCCGCACATATTTTGGAGTGAAATAAAAAGGCCAACATTACCCAAAGGGGGCTGAAATACAGAAGGGAGAAGCAAGTAATGTTACTGTTATGTGAAGTTATTACAGTACAGGGCTGTATTCCATTCAGCCTGAGGAATGACAATGACTTTGGGAGAACACTACACAGAATGAGCAGAATTACACAGAGCTAAAAGAACTAAATTCTGAAGCACAGAAACTTAAAAGGTGATCCAATTGAGATGCTTAAACTGACTAAAAGGACTTGATAGGATAGAGGAATGGAGCATTGTCCACAGGGGTTTTGGAGGGGCGGGGCGTTCCTGTGGTCAGAGAGGTGGCAAAACGAAGTGCTGTTAACATTGGATCTTAGCCATTCCAAAGTGAAACCATCAAGTATTTCTTCAACAATTTAAATCTGTGCACCACATCATGTTGTTGATCCTGGGCAGGGTGCAGGGTGGGGGGGGGGGTCAAATAAAATTTTCATAGAAAATAATGGAAGTAGGCCATTCAGCCCTTCGAGCCTGCTCCGCCATTCAACATGACCACAGCTCATCATCCAGCTCAATAGCCTGCTCCCACTTCTCTCTGATCCCTCAACACCACCACCCCCGCCTCAACTGTTATATCCAACTCCCCTTGAAATCAGACAATGTTTTGGCCTCGACAGCTTTCTGTCGGAGTGAATCCTGGTGTAGGCTCACTGCTTTCTGGGCGAAGAAATTTCTCCTCAACTCAGTCCTAACTGGCTTACCCTGTATCCTTAGGCTGTGTTGCTATTTCTGAACTGCCTATTCATCAGGAACATGAGTGAGACTTCTAATTATTCCTCTCAGATTCCAGACAGATTTTGTTAAACATTGCCATTCAGCATTACGCAACCAAGGTACATAGTTAGAGTTAACCTTGATCCAGCATAATGGCAGAACAGGCGGCTGTGCTGAAATGGTTGCCTCCCATTCCTGTGAATATGACAATGTTGATTCTGATTGGGTGTTCAAGGGTGGATAGGGCCACAGTCACTTAAAAATGAGTGAAAATCTGTTTAAAAATGACTTTCCTGCTGTACTGTCAGAAATATTAAAACATAGACCCTGCTTGTACCGCAAGCAAAATAAAACTACTCACTGTACCTAGGTACATGTGACAATAATAAATCAAAAGATAAGAGTAAGTTTAACTGGTTTTTAAGACAACTTAGTCAAAAATTGTTGCTTTGACATTGAAGAAGCTACACTCTTTGGCACCATTATTAAAAAGTTCATCCTACACCTTTCACACTTGCTGTATCCTATGGAAGAGTTTTAGCAGGCACAGCTGCTGCATGCTTCAATAGCCAGTTGGAAAAGTAACACACGTCAACATTAAAAAAATGCTAATTCTAAAACATATTTAAAAATTAAAGTCAAGTAATGAGGATAAATATAAAACTGTCCAACAATATTCACAAGTTCATGATTAGAAATCCCACTTTTTCACGTATAACAGATCTGTGGAGAAGATTCACGTAGGTTCGGGTGCAAAACGTTGAAGAATAAATGACTAGATTCAATCGGTGGACAGAAATGGAGGTACTGAGAGAAAAGGAGCAGTATTGTTAGGTCAATCTCATTATCACCAAAACGCCAGTAATTAGACCCGCTGAAAAGGCTGCAAAAGTCTGCCAGGTTGGAGTTCCAATGTAAGAATAGATTGTCTCCTAAAAGAGGGGAAAAAAAAAACAGTAAAACCAGCAATTAATTGGATTTACCAAACCACCAGAATAGATATTGCTGAAGGTAAATGGGTTTTGTTAAAAGGTCAAATTAAAGAAAATGGTTTATTAGAATGAAAGCAACATCAGATGAACAGAAAACCTGCCATTGTTGATATACTCACTATTCACACCTATACATTTCCCAGCTCAAAGGTCTATAACCATCATTTAGATCTCTGCTTATAAACTGTACGCATGAGCTGTCTGGGTTCAATCATTGCAATCACGGAATCAGGGTGGAAGCAGGCCTTTCAGCCCATCAGGTCCACACCAACCCTTCGAAGAGTATCCCATACTCAGATCCATCCCCTATCCTACCACCCCACATTTCCCCATGGCTAACCCACTTAGCCTGCACATCCCTGGACACAATGGAACAACTTAGCATGGCCAATGTACCCTAACCCACACATCTTTGGATTGTGGGAGGAAACTGGAGCACCAGGAGGAAACCCACGCAGACACGGGGAGAACGTGCAAACTCCACACAGACAGTCGCCCAAGGGTGGAATTGAACCCAGGTCCCTGAAACTGTAAGGCAGCAGTGCTAACCACTGAGCCACCATTGTTTAGATATTCTGTTACGAAAATGGTCGATTTTTCCTCAGAGGTCTCGCTGTTGTCTCACATCTCTTGCTTTCAGCGGCGGGAGTGGAGAGAGCGCAAGCCAGGGTGCAGTCGGAAAGGTAAGCTTTTCTGTATAAAAGGAGATTGTGCAGCAGCGGCCCACTTGCTTTCAGAGGCAGGAGTGGAGCGAGCGCGAGCCGAGAAGTGAACTAATATATTTGGGCATTGGCTAAACCCAAAACACTACACATGTAGTGTCTCCCACCCATCCTCCTCCTCTAACAAAAAAAAAGTGTGGAGGGTCGGTAAGGTAAGGCTTTGTTTTATTCTTCTGGAAATCTAGAGTAGAGGGAATGGAAGCTAGGGCAGTTGCATGCTCCTCTTGCAGGATGTGGGAGGTAAGGGTCACTGCTGGTGTCCCCTCTGACTTCACCTGCAAGAAGTGCAACCAACTCCAGCTCCTCACAAACCGCGTTAGGGAACTGGGGCTAGAGCTGGATGAACTCCGGATCATTTGGGGGGCTGAGGGGGTGATAGAGAGGAGTTATAGGGAGGTGGTCACATTCAAAGTACAGGAAAAAGGTAACTGGGTGACTGTCAGGAAGGGGAAAGGGAATAGGCAGACAGTGTAGGGATCCCCTGTGGCCGTTCCCCTCAATAATAAGAAGTGTACCAGGGGAAGGCCATAGCAGACAGGTCTCTGGCACTGAGCCTGGCCTGTGGCACAGAAGGGAAGGGGGGAGAACAGGAGAGCTATTGTAGTGGGGGATTCAATAGTAAGAGGCACAGACAGGCGGTTCTGTGAATGCGAACGAGATGAACGGATGCTATGTTGCCTCCCATGTTATGGTGCTAGGGTCCACAACATCTCGGATCGTGTCTTCAAGATCCTTAAGGGGGAGGGTGAGGAACCAGCAGTCAAGGTACACATCGGTACCAATGACAATCGGTAGAAAAAGGACTGAGAATGTGAAAAACGAGTACAGGGAGTTTGTCCTGGAATTCAGCTTCCAACCTAACAGGGTAGTTATCTCTGGATTACTACCAGTGCCACATGATAACAAGGTAAGGAATAGGGAGAGAGTGCAGCTAAACACGTGGCTACAGGGCTGGTGTAGGAGGGAGGGCTTCCATTATGTGGATAATTGGAGCACATTCTGGGGAAGGTGGGACCTGTACAGCAAGGACGGGTTGCACCTGAACCGGAAGGGCAGAAATATCCTGGGAGGGAGGTTTGCTAGAGCTGTACGGGATGGTTTAAACTAGATTGGCAGGGGGTGGGGAACTGGATTTATAATTCAGAGGATGAGGTATTCAGCCTTCCAACAGACACAACAGGGAGTGAGGTTGTTTATAAAGAAATGCGGTCAATGGAGCGTAATTGTGGACACAGGGATGGTTTGAAGTGTGCATACTTCAATGCTAGAAGTATCAGAAATAAGGCAGATGAACTTACAGCATGGGTCAGTACTTGGAACTACGATGTTGTGGCCATTACAGAAACTTGGGTAACTCAGGGAGAGGAATGGCTGTTGGAAGTTCTGGGATTTCAATGCTTTAAAAGAAATAGGGAGGGTGGTAAAAGAGGCAGGGGAGTGGCATTGCTGGTCAGGGCGAGTATAGCAGCTACTGAAAGGCAGTTCAAGAATGATATGTCTACAGAGTCAGTTTGGGTTGAGGTCAGGAACAAGAAAGGAGCAGTCACTTTGGGATTTTCTTTTTTTAAAAAACAGACCCCCTAATAGTTGCAGAGAAGTGGAGGAGCGGTTTGGGAGGCAGATACTGGAAAGGTGCAGAAGTCACAGGGTTGTAGTCATGGGTCACTTCAACTTTCCAAATATTGATTGGAAACTTTTTGGTTATAATAGTTTAGATGGAGTGGATTTTGTCCAGTGCGTTCAGGAAGGATTCCTGACAGTATGTAGATAGACCAACACAAGGAGAGGCCACTTTGGATTTGGTGCTCGGCAATGAACCGGGCTAAGTGTTAGACCTGTTGGTAGGACAGCATTTTGGCGGTAGTGATCATAACTCTGTTACTTTTACAATAGTCATGGAAAAGGACAGGTATATACAGCAGGATAAGGTTGATAATTGGGGGAAGGGTAATTATAATTCAGTTAGGCAAGAACTGGATAACAAAATGGGAACAGATGCTGTCAGGGAAGAGCACTATAGAAATGTGGAGATTGTTTAAGGAATGCATACTGCGTGTGCTCGATATGTTTGTCCCTAGCAGGCAGGGAAGATGAGGTCGAGTGAGAGCGCCTTGGTTCTCAAGAGAGGTCGAACAACTAGTTAAGAGGAAGAAGGATGCTTATATAAGGTTTAGGAAACAAGGTTCGGAAAAGGCTCGAGAGGGATACAAGTTAGCCAGGAAGGAGCTGAAGAAAGGGCTTAGGAGAGCTATAAGGGGGCACGAGAAAACCTTGGCAGATAGGATCAAGGAAAACTCCAAGGCTTTTTACACATACGTGAGGAATAAGAGAATGACCAGAGAAAGGGTAGGGCCGATCAAGGATTGTAAAGGGAATTTGTGCACGGAGCCTAAAGAGATAGGAGAGGTCCTTAATGAATACTTTCCCTCGCTATTCACAACTAAGAGGGACCTAGTTGTAGAGGAGGACAGTGTGAAACAGGCTGATAGGCTAGAGGAGGTGGATGTTAGTAAGGAAGATGTACTAGAATTTTGAGGAAGTTGAAGATAGATAAGTCCCCCGGGCCTGGTGGGATTTATCCAAGGATTCTATGGAAAGCGAGGGAAGAGATCGCAGTGCCTTTGGCGATGATCTTTTCGTCCACACTGTCCACAGGTATAGTGCTGGAAGATTGGAGAGGCGCAAATGTCATCCCTTGTTCAAAAAAAAAAAAAAAAAAGGGGAATCGGGATAACCCCAGAAATTACAGGCCAGTTAGTCTTACGTCAGTGGTCAGCAAATTATTGGAAAGGGCTCAGAGATAGGATTTATGATCACTTGGAAAGGCACAGTTTGATTCGTGATAGTCAGCATGGATTTGAGAGGGGTAGATCATGCCTCACAAACCTTATTGAATTCTTTGAAGAGGTGACCAAACACGTGGATGAAGGTAGAGCAGTGGATGTGGTATACATGGATTTAAGTAAGGCGTTTGATAAGGTTCCCCATGGTAGGCTCATGCAGAAAGTAAGGAGACATGGGATGGGGAAAATGTGGCAGATTGGATTCAGAATTGGCTGAGCCTTAGAAGACAAAGGGTGGTAGTGGACGGAAAATATTCAACATGGTGCTCAGTTACGAGTGGTGTACCACAAAGATCTGTTCTGCGTCCTCTTCTATTTGTGATTTTTGTAAATGATTTGGATGAAGGAGTGGAAGGGTGAATTAGTAAGTTCGCGATGATACGAAGGTGGGTCGAGTTGTGGATAGTGCGCAGGGCTGTTCTAGGTTACAAAGGGACATTGATAGGATGCAGAGCTGGGCTGAGAAGTGGCAGATGGATTTTAACCCTGAAAAGTGTGAGGTGATTCATTTTGGAAGGACAAACTTGAAAGCAGAATGCAGGGTTAAGGGAAGGATTCTGGGCAGTGTGGGGGGAGCAGAGGGATCTTGGGGTTCAGGTCCACAGTTCCCTGAAAGCTGCCACCCAGGTGGCTAGAGTTGTTAAGAAGGCGTATGGTGTGTTCGCTTTCATTAATAGAGGGATTGAGTTCAAGAACCGTGAAGTTATGCTCCAGCTATACAAAAGCCTGGTTTGGCCACATCTGGAGTATTGTGTCCAGTTCTAGTCGCCTCATTACAGGAAAGATGTGGAAGTTCTGGAAAGGTGCAGAGGAGATTTACTAGGATGTTGCCTGGAATGGAGGGAAGGTCTTACGAGGAAAGGTTGAGAGTGCTAGGGCTTTTCTCTTTAGAACGACGAAGGATGAGAGGTGACTTGATAGAGGTGTACAAAATGATCAGAGGCATGGATAGAGTGGACAGCTAGAGACTTTTTCCTAGGGTGGAGGTAGCTATTACTAGGGGGCATAGTTTTAAAGTGAGTGGAGGTAAATGTAGGGGAGTCGTCAGAGGTAGGTTCTTTACTCAGAGTGGTCGGGGTGTGGAACGCATTGCCAGAGAGGGTAGTGGAGTCAACCTCATTAGGGGCATTTAAGCAGCTATTAGATAGGCATATGGATGATCATATAAGGAGGTTAGATAGACCTTAGGTTTAGGGTAAAAGTTCGGCACAACATTGTGGGCCGAAAGGCCTGTTCTGTGCTGTACTGTTCTATGTTCTGTCTCTCTATAACTGTAAACCTGTCTGCTGCACAGCCCAAGATCTCTGCCTGCCTCTCCAATTCAGTAGAGTATTCCAACTTACAGGGTATAATGTTATCAGTTTAATATGTTGAAACAAAAGGTTTTGGAACGTAACTCCAACTTTTACATTGGCTTTAATGGGAAAATCTGATCTACTTAAAGTTGTTTCATTTTCTTTCATGAATGAAGCTACAATATTAAGCAAGGAATGTATCTTTAACATTTTGTCACTGTTGTTATTTTGGCAATGTGACAGCCAGTTTGCAGATAGCAAGCTTCCCTCAAAGAGCAATGATCAGATAATCTGTACGTGACGAATGTTGGGGATAACTGTTAGCCAGGACACCAAGTGTACCATCCTAGCTTGTCTTCAAAAAGGGCCACGAGATCTTTTACATGCATCAGTTTAATATTTCATTAACATCTCAGGGGAGGTGATGGCAAATTGGTATTATTGGTGAACTGTTAATCCCAAGACCCAAGTAATGTTCTGGGGACCCAGATTCAAATGCTGCCACTGCAAACAGAGGAATTTGAATTCAATTAAAAAAAATCTGGAATTGAGTTTAATGATGACCATGAATCCATTGTCGATTGTCAGAAAAATCCATCTGGTTCACCAATATCCTTTAGGGAAGGAAACTGCCATCCTTACCTGGTCTGGCCTACAGTTGACTTTGGGCAATTAGGGATGGACAATAAATGCTGGTCCAGCCTGCGATGCCCACATCCCATGAATTAATTCTTTTAAAAATTTGAAAGGTTGCCTTGTCTGACAATGCAGCAGGAGAGGGTCAGGCTTGGCTGTGATTTTCACTCCCGTGGTAATTTGGCACAAACTGATAGACACAACTTGGCCTGAAAAACTCTCCAGATCATGCAACCTTTGCTCTGGGGGTGGGGAGAGGGAGGTATGGAATAGGGGCAATTTAATTCAGTTAGTAAATCAAAAATCTCAGTCTCAGTGATGTTGACCATGAAAACATCTTTGATTGTTGTAAAAACCTCATTCATTAATGTACTTTACCTAAGGACATCTACATGACGCCAGACACAAAGTAATGTGATTGACTCATAACGACCCTCAGAAACGGCTTAGCACTCTACTCCGTTAGGGACTGGCAACTAATTCTGACCTTACCAGTAACACCCACATCCCACAAATAAATAAGAGATAAGTGTTAACTCACCCATCCACCTTGTTGTTCAATCCACGGAATTACACGGGCTCGAATCAAGTCCAGAGACCAATTAATGATAGGTTGAATCATTGATCTCAGATTTTTCAGTGCCTGAGAAAAGGAAGGTAGTTACTCATGGGTAACAAAAAGGAGTAAAACCCCATTCACCAAATTTCCTTTTTCCCCTCTCCTCTCCTGAAGATGGAGAAATTTGTGCAGATACAGTAATACAGCTCACTTGTGATACACAAGCATGACTCCAATTGCTTGCAAGCTAACCAGGAGCTCTATCCCAGGTTCATTAAAAATCTAAAATACACTATCCTTTACGACATCCCTCTTTGTCGGGACCAGATGATCTTGCTCTCTGTGCACCTTCTCTGCAGCTGTAACATTGTATTCCTCGCTCTGTTCTATTACCCGAATACACTTTGTATGGTATGATCCGCCTGTACTGCACGCAAAACAAAAAACTTTTCACTGTTCCTAGGTACATATGACAATAATAAAATCGAATCAAAGATACCGAGTACTTGGTTATTAAAATTGCACCAGGGTACAAACACCATCGTGATGATGGCTCCAATTAGAATACATAGTAAACTTCCACCTGAACAGGTAAACACCTCAGGCACTTAAAATTATAAAAACAGCAAGGTTCAAATGGAGGTTGCTCAGCTAACATTGCCACGTATTGAGGCAGACAGTTTTTTTTTCATCCAATAGATTTTGCAGCAGGGCAAAAATGGACAATGACAATTACCCTGTGGGAACTTGTGGTCAACAGCTAGTGTACAAATACACAACTAACTTACTGTAGCACTACAAGTCCTTTCTGGGCTGTCATTTAGCATGATGGGGTGGGGGTGAGGAAATAAATTATTTCGGGGGAGGCGATGGCCTAGTGATATTTTTGCTGGACTTCAATCCAGGGACCCAGGTAATGGGTTCAAATCTTGCCGTGGCAAAATGTTGGAATGAGAGTTCAATAAAAATCTGGAAATAACAGTCCAATGATGACCATGAATCCATTGTTGGAAAAGCCCATCTGGTTCGTTAATGTCCTTTAGGGAAGGAAACTGCCATCCTTACCTGGTCTGGCCTACATGTGACTCCAGACCCACAGCAATGCGGTTGACTCTTAACCGCCCTCTGGAATGAGCAATAAATGCTGCCCTAGCCAGAGACGCCCTCATGCCGTGAATAAATTTTTTTTTTTTTTTTTAAATTCCTCAGCTCAATGCCACTCAGCTGTTTCTACTCATTTGAGGCAGATATTTCACTTTTCATTTATTGTCAGAATTATTTAAATAATAATTGATGGAATGAACTTTTTTGTTTACACATTGTAATGTAAAACAATGTGAACATTGTGGGGTGAAGAAACACTAAGTGTAATGTTAGAGTGAACCTGATTGTTACCTACAGATGGGTTCGACATTCTATCGCCCATTCACACGGTCATGCAGCTTACCTTAAATACAAGTCTGCTGGCAAAATACAGGAAGATTACAATTCGTCCCCAGTTCAAGCCATCAGAAACTAATATCCCTTCAGCCACTTTGCGCAAAACTTCTCGAATATTGTCAAGAGGTACAGTCTCAATTACACTGTTAGCAGAAAACAGCAAGTACAGACAAAATTAATCATCTGCAGTTCAAAACATATTATATCGTTTCTTTAAGAAAATGGTAATGTGCAGAATAGATTTTCTATGTATCTAAAATACTAACATTAAAAAGGTAACAGCAGTCCTAGCTTGCTACATTGAACTAAGATTAACAACAATCAATTTGCTTTGTCTTTTTTCCCTAAAAGGATGTTGGGATAAAATTCCTTAATTTTCTCTGGTACCTCATCCAAGTAGGTGACTGCAAGTGAGCAGTGATATTCAAAAAGAAAAAGGACCCAAGATATTGAAGACAGTGTTGCCATAGGTGAAGTGATTAAAGCAAAATAACTAAAAATATAATGAGCAGAGTAAAGAGAGAAAACTAGCTAGAATTAAGAAACACAGACGGTGAGTTTCTATAGATATTTAACAACAAAAAGGAGTTAACAAAGTCAGCATTAGTCCTACAGACAGAGTGTTATGGAAATTAATACTGGAAAGTGAAGATGTAGTATTTAATGCACACTGTATACAAAACAAGGTGGGGCGTGCGCGGAAATTTAGGGTAACAAGTTCCAAGGGAGCACTGGCTACTGTGGGCTCTGACTCGGAGCTCTGCACTTCTGAACAACATGGTTCCACTCTCACAGACAGACACCACCCTCCAACATGCAACCCAATCTCAATCCTCAGTGAGGTGACATGACAATTTTCAGAACGCAAAATGTTGTCAGAGGGAAAACATTTGTGGTGAACTTGTGTAAACTGTAACATATTATAAACGACAAAAGATTGACTTGTTAACAGAAAACAAACAAGTCATAAATAAGTAATTTAGCTATTTACAAGATGTAATGAGCGAAGAGTCGCAGGATCAGTCCTTGGGGTGAAGGGACCAAAGGTATGGATTATGAATTTGTTGATGACAGAAAGCTTATGAAGAAAGGAAAATGTGAAAAGAACATAAGTTGGTTCCAGAAGGATATGGATCGGGTAAGTGACTGGGCAAAGATCTGGAAAATGAAGTGCAATGTAGGAAAATAAAGAATTACACATTTGGCAGGAAGAGTAAAAAAGCATAACGTCTAAAGACCAAGACATTGCAAAGCTTGGAGCTGCAGGGGCATCTGGCCGTTCTATTGCATGGATCACAAAAGGTGAGCAAGTAATTGGAAAGCTAATAATTTGTTATTGTTTGTTGCAAGAGGAATCAAGGACAAAAGTAGAGAATTTATGCTTCAGTAATATCATACATTAGTGAGCCCCTACCTGGAGTACGCATCACTTTAAGGAAGGATGTAATGACGTTGGATGAAATTCAGGGAAGGTTTACCAGACTAATAACCTGGGATGAGTGGATTATCTTATGAAGAAAGGTTGGAGAGACTAAACTCACACTGACAATTAAAAAGGTTAAGAGGTGACTTGACTGAAGACACAAGATCCTGAGAGGTCTTTAAAAAAAATGCAACTGAAGAGGATTGTTTGTCTTGTGGGGAAATCTAGAGCTAGGGGTCTTTTTTTTTTTAAAAAAAGTAAGGAGTCATTAATTTAAGACAGAGATAAGGAGAAATATTTCTCAGATGACACTTCTTTGGAATTCCACCACACAAAGTAATGGAGGCACAGACAGAGGGAGATAGATTCTTGACAAGCTGTGAGTCTGTGCGCACACGTGTGCATCTGTGCGGGTACGTGCATATGTATGTTTGTGGGGGTGCCCAAGTACGTGTGCCTGTGTGTGCATGAGAATACGTGAGTGAATACAGGGTGGGGAGGTGAATAGTTATGCAATTGGGAATAATCAGAGCAGCCATGATCTTATTGAATGGTGGAGCAGGTTCAAGGGGCCAGGCAGCCTACTCCTGCTCCTAACTTTTTATGTTTGTACATACCACAATATGATGATTGCTAAATCATTTACTATACAGTAATACAGACAAATTCATCTATATTGCCCAGTTACACACTGTTGTAATTCAACATTTCTGTTCAGCTCATCTCCAATTTTCTTCAAACTTTTGCATATCTCCTTGACATTAGGGTCATCAATCTCTTTTCTCGTGCCACCAAGATCTTCAGGACTGAGTTGTGATTGTGGATCTTCTTCAAGGATTGTCTCCAGGACAAACCTACGTCACAGTTAAAAAAGAAAATTAGAAAAGACACTTTTCTAAAATCAGTAGGGGAAGGGAGGAGGGAGGGAGAGGGGCAGATACAGAGAGAAGGGCAGAGAGACAGAGACACGGAGGGAGCAAAGGACAGAGAGAAACAAATTTGACAGTGTGAAATAACCTCAAAATAAATGAGAGATAAGTATGCACAAATAGATAGCCTTCCCTATTTAAACTCCAAAAGGTTACTGCTGAATTAGTTAATTGTAACAGATATGTCCAAGGGTAAACCAAGACCACTCTCAGTATATAAACTACACTTACTGCTGTAACAGAACCCTTACATTCTGTCCATGACAACTGATGCTCATGTTGTTTCCTAGATTATAGTAATCTTAGTTCAAACATTCTGCATGACCGTAAAGAATTTTGAGGTGCCCCGAGATTATGAAAATAAAGCAAGGTTTTGTTGCAAAAACAAAGTTGCTGGAAAAGCTCAGCAGGTCTGGCAGCATCTGTGAAGGAAAAAACAGTTAACGTTTCGGGTCCAGTGACCCTTCTTCAGAACAACCCGAGGAAGAGTCACCGGACCCAAAACGTTAACTGTTTTTTCCTTCACAGATGCTGCTCAGACCTGCTGAGCTTTTCCAGCAACTTTGTTTTTGTTCCTGATTTACAGCATCCGCAGTTCTTTCCGTTTTTATTTAAGATTTTGTTGCAGGTCAGGGACGCAATGGCCTTGCGGAATTATGACTGGACTGTTAATCCAGAGACCCACAATGTTCTGGGGACCTAGGTTTTTTTTCAATAAAATATCTGGAATTAAGAATCTGATGATGACCGTGAATCCATTATTATCAGAAAGACCCATCTGGTTCACTCATGCCCTTCAGGGAAGGAAGCTGCCATCCTTACCTGGTCTGGTCTACATGTGACTCCAGACCCACAGCAATGTGGTTGACTCTTAACTGTCCTCTGGGCAATAAATGATGTTTAGCCAGCGACACCACCCATCCAAAGAAAAAAGGAAAAAAAAGTTGTCCAACTGTCACTTAAAATAAAATAAAACTAAATCTCCTTTGGATAGTTGAGGATAGCAAAGAGGTTTGCAGCTCAAACATACAGACTGCTCCACTAAAAAATATAATTTCAGGCTATATTATGATCCAGTGGAATTTGGGGAGGAGCAATTTGCTAACGAAGGGAAAGTCATTATAATCCCAAAGGGCCATACAGCTGCTCCCTCATTAGATAGAGGGATGACTGGTGAACTGAGAGTCACCACCTCTCAGGCAACAGGAGAGACTGAAAAGACAAACTTCATGCCAACCTCAGCTGGTGCGGGAATTGAACCCATGCTGTTGACATCACTTTGCATTATAATCTCTCATATTGAGCCAACCGACTCCGAGTTGGTAACTGTAAAAGTGTTTTATCAACTGATGTAGCAAAGATGCTCAGAACATTTAATGTAAAGTTTAAGGCAGTCACCAACCTCCGCACGAGAGCTTCAGATTGTTTATCCAGAATCCTGTTTACTGAATCTGAAAAATAGTACACTCAAGTTCAATTATAAGCATAACAGTTCGTTAATTTGATTGTCAACTTGGTTTAATACAAGAAAATTGAATGAGGAGCAAAGGGATAAAACCAGAGGTTTCTCAGTGGAAGCATCAAGGGGTAAGGTGGACAAAGATTGGTGAACTGAACATGATCATCACAAGGCTATAAGACACAGGACCACAACGAGGCCATTCGGCCCATTGAGTCCGCTTTGCCGCTCAATCATGTTTCTCATCACATTCTCCTGCTTTTTCCCTTGTAACTCTCAATACCCTTACTAATCCACGGCATATCTATCTCTGCCTTAAATACGCTCAATGACTTGGCCTCCACAGCCCTCTGCAGCAATGAGTTCCACAGATTCCCCATCCTCCGGCTGAAGGAATTCCTCTTCATCGCTGTTCCAAAGGGTCATCCCTTCATTCTGAGGCTGTGCCCTCAGATACTAGACACTCCAACTCGTACATCTTCTCCATACCACTCCATCCAGGCCCCTCAATATTCTGGATTCCCTCCCACGTCCTTCTAAATGCTATCGAGTACAGACCAAAGTCCTCAATTACTCCTCATATCTTCATTTTTTTTTTTTTTTAAATTAATTCTCAGGATAAGCCTAGTATTTATTGCCCATCCCCAAGTTGCCTAAATGGCAGTTCAGAGTCAACTACATTGCTGTGGGACTGGAGTCATACGTAGGCCAGACCAGGTAAGGATGGCAGTTTCCTTCCTTAAAGGACACTAAATGAACCAGATGGGATTTTCCAACAATTGACAATGGATTCATAGTCACCATTAGACCCTTAATTTCACCATCTGCCATGGCAGGATTTGAACCCACATCCCCAGAACATTACCTGGGTCTCTGGATTAACAGTTGAGCGATAACACCACCAGGCCATTACCTCCCCTTCATTCTAGTGAATCTTCTCTGGAACCTCCAAGGCTGGGACATCCTGCCTTAGATACAGGGCCCAAAACTGTTCATGATATTCCAACTGAGTCTGACTAGAGACTTTTATATAAAAATTAATTTATGGAATGTGGGCAACACTAGCTAGGCCAGCATTCATTGCCATTTCCTAAGTAGCCAGTGGTCTCATATCTTCAGCAGTACATTCCTGCTCTTGTACTCTAGCCTGCTCAAAAAGAATGCCAACATTGCATTTACCTTCCTAACTGCCAATTGAACCTGCAGGTTAACCTTAAGAGAATCCTGAACTAGGCCTCCCAAGTCCCTTTGTGCTTCAGATTTCCGAAGGCTTTGCGCACTTAGAAAATAGTCTGTACCTCTACTCTTCCTTCCAAAGTGCATAACCTCACACTTTCCCACATTGCATTCCACCAGCCACTTCTTTGCCCACTCTCCCAGCGTGTTCAGGCTCTTCTTCAGCCTTTCCTCGACACTACCCAACCCTCCACCTTTCTTTGTGTTATCTCCAAACTTTGCAACAGTGCCCTCAATTCCTTTGTCTAGATCATTGGTGTATAACATGAACAGCTGCAGCTCCAACACAGACCCCTGCAGAACTCCAACAGTACACAGCTGCCATCTTGAAAAAGACCCCTTTATCCCCACTCTCTGCCTTCTACCAGTCAGCCAATCCTTTATCCATGCCAGTACCTTGCCCCTAACGTCATGGGCTCTTATCTTATTCAGCAATCACCTGTGTGGCAGCTTGTCAAAGACCTTCTGGAAATCCAAATAGATCACATCCACTGACTCCCCTTTGTCTAACTTGCTTGTTATCTCCTCAAAAAAAGTGTTCTAACAAATTTGTCAACACTTTCTCCTTAATGATGGCCACTGCTCTCACTCCTGCCTCCTGACTCTCGAAGTTCTGGTATGCTGCCAGTGTCGTCCACTGTGAAAACTAATGCAATGTACCTATTCAGTTCCTCTGCCATTTCTTTGTTCCCCATTACTACTTCTCCAGCCTTATTTTCCAATGGTCCAGTGTCCATTCTTGCCTCTCTCTTACCTGTCATATAATATTAAAAAAACTCTTGCAATTTTCCTTTAAAGTTAGATGGCCCTCATATTTCATCTCCTCACCCTTGTTGCTTTTTTTTTAAAAAGTTGTCCTCTGCTGCTTTTCAACTACTTCCCAATTCTCTGGCTTCCCACTAATCTTCACCATATTGTATTTTTTTTTGCATTCTTGACTTCCCTTGTCAGCTATGGCTGCCTCATCCTCCCCTTAGTATGTTTCTTCATCCTTGGGATGAATTTCTGTTGTGCCTCCCAAATTATCCCCAGAAACTCCTGCAATTGCTGCACCACTGTTTTCCCTGCTATACTCCCCTTCCAATCAACTCTGGCCAGCTCTTCCCTCATGACTTTGTAGTTACCTTCACTCAATTGTAATAAAGTTACATCTGATTCCAGCTTCTCCCTCAAACTGTAGGGTGAATTTTATATTGTTGTCACTGTCCCCTACGGGTTCCTTCACCTTCACAATCAAGTCTGCCTTGTTACACATCACCAAATCCAGAACTGCCTGCTCCCTAATGGATTCTGCCACAAGCTGCTCCAAAACAAAAATCATCTTGTAGATGTTCCATGAATTCCTTTTCTTGAGATCTGCTACCAATCGGAGTTTCACGGACCATCTGTATATTGAAGTCCCCCATGATTACTGTAATAGTGCCTTTCTTACATGCCCTTTCTATCTGATTTATTTTCTTCCCCACATCCTGACTACTGCTAGGTGGTCTGTACACAACTCCCATCAGGGTCTTTCTTCCTTTGTGGTTCCTCAACTCGTCCCACACAGATTCTAAGCCTTCCATCTCTATCCCTTCCTGATATCAATTTATTTTCATTTCTTACGAACAAGGCAACCTATCCCCTTCTGCCCATCTGCCTGTCCTTTCGATAGAATGTGCGTTCTTGGATATTTAGTTCCCAGGCCTGATCTCCTTGCAGCCACATCGGTGATAGCCACAGCACTGTACCTGCCAATTTCAATCTGCGCTACAAGCTCATTTACCTTATTTCATATCCTCAGTCCTGTATTGACTGCCCACCTTCTCATGGTTGTCCCTTTATCTGCTGCGCTTGAAGTAAGATTCCTGACCCTTTCCATTCCCTCTGCCCTAATAATTGCTCCAGAAACTTTAAATCACCTCTGCTGAGCCCACCCCCTTTTAACTAGTTTAACGTCCTTGTGGTCTCAATTTACACCATCAGTACGTCTTACTTATTCGGAGTGCTTCGTGCAAGGCCTTTAAGTTTGTTCCATTATTGAGGTTCCCTTTTATGATTCCTTGGAGTTATGTGACATTCACACATTCTGTCCCTTCATTTTGTTTTCTGATAACAATCAACCCCAGCAATCCTACCTTCTCCTTGACCTTTGATTTCATAATTTCCCATGCAATTGAATGCATCCTCTCTGCCCAACTATTTAGTTTAAAGCCCTATTCAAAGCCCTAGTTATATGATTCGCTGGGATCCTGGTCCCAGCATGATTCGGGTGGTGCCCATCCCATTGGAACAGCTCCCTCCTTCCCCAGTACTGGTGCCAATGTCCCATGAATTCAAACCGGTTTCTCCACATCAATTTTTGAGCCACTGGTTTACCTGTTTATCCTTGCTGGCCCTGTGCCAATTAGCTCATGGCTCAGGTAACAATCCAATCCAGAGATTATTTACCTTTTCACCTCTGCTTTTTACATTTTAGGATGTTTACCCACATGAATTGGGGTTAAAAATACTGATGGAGAATGTGATACATGTTTGAAATGGAGGAACGTAGAAAAATTCCAAGTGAGAAAGGGAAGGGATAGAACCGGTTTTAAAGACAGAACATTCTGTCATCTTTATAAAAAAGCAAATGCATCACCAGTTGTAGTTATCATGTGATCAGATGCCATTTGTTTCCAGAAATACCTCCAGTCAACATGACCCAGCACCACCTCACAAAGAAATACACATTCCAGAGCTGTGAGAAATCGGATGGGATTTCTGTTCTTCTGTATTGTGTACTGTAACTACACTATCAGATGGCATTTACTTTAACAAATTGTGTTTCTATGTGAAAGTTGCTACATGAATGCAGCAAGATATTCCACACAGACAAAAAGTCAGACAAAAATGGACACCAGGCTACTGGAGATGATATTCACAGGCTGACCAGAAGCTTGATCACAGGGCTAGATTTCAAACAGGGGCTGAAAGGAAGAGAGAGAGATAGAGGTAAAGATGTTTAGAGAGATTGAAGATTGTAAGATTGTGTACTTGTCGTCGGACATGGGAAGATGACAGTGTACTATTAACAACACTGGACCAGAGGCCAGGCTATAGATCTGGAGACTGCAGTCCAAATCCTACCATGGCAACTGGGAATTGAAACTCAATTAATAGATCTGAATTATAAAAGTTGAAATGGTAATCATGACAACTGTCACTGATCATTGTAAAAACCCATCTGACTCACTAATGTCCTTTAGGGAAGGAAATCTGCCATCTGAGTAGATTGGGATTATATTCATTGGAATTCAGAAGATTGAGGGGGGGATCTTATAGAAACATATAAAATTATGAAGGGAATAGATAAGATAGAAGTAGAGAGGATGTTTCCACTGGCAGGTGAAGCTAGGACAAGAGGGCATAGCCTCAAGATTAGAGGGAGCAGATTTAGGACTGAATTGGGAAAGAATTTCTTCACCCAGAGGGTTGTTAATCTATGGAATTCCTTGCCCAGTGAGTAGTTGACGCTACTTCAGTAAACGTTTTTAAAGAGAAGGTAGATTTTCTTTTGAACAATAAAGGAATTAAGGGATACGGTGAGAACGCGGGTAAGTGGATCTGAGTCCACGAAAAGATCAGCCATGATCTTATTGAATGGCGGAGCAAGCCCGAAGGGCCGGACGGCCTACTCCTGCTCCTAGCTCTTATGTTCTTGTTCTTACCTGGTCTGGCCTTGTGCGATTCCAGATTCACAGCAACGTATTCAACTTTTAACAGCCCTCTGAAATTTCCCAGAAAACCATTCAGTTCAAGGGTTTTTGAGATGCTGGCCAAATGCTAGCTGTACAATAATGCCAAAAACAAAAAGAAGATAAAGAAAGGCAGAAGGTGCATCCATACACCAGAAGGATGGAGGAATACACTGCAAGACAGTTCAAGGAACGGCAAGTTCTGAGGTGCATTGGGGATGTAGAAGGTTACAGACAGAAGGATGGAGAATGGAAATTTGAGATATTCAGTGGCTGGAATACCATTGATGTCAAGTGAGCGAAAGGGGAATGGACAAGTGGAGCATGGTACTACACACATAGCAGATACTGGGATGAGCTGAAGTTAGTGATGGGAACAAGCTGGCTGGGAAAACACCAAATACTCAGGTCCAAGTGGGACAGGTCAGCTGCAGGATGTGTTGACAACACATACATTTCCCTCCATCTTCCTTCGCACATAGCAGCCTTCAGACAAGTCAACGCACTGAAGGTTTCATTTTCGAATCCTGGTCGGTTGTGAATCATTCACAGGAAGTAATGGAAAGTAGCTTCCAACAGTCTTCAGGGTCTAGGCAACCTCTCTGGTACAAACCGGCCACCCTGATCTCAGATCCAACACAATGTGACACAGCTGATGGCTACCTTCAAGATGACAGCAGCCTTTATGTTGGCTGTAATCAGGAACACTCCTTTCTCTTCTATATCCCAAAATGTTTAAGCACAACTGAACGACTCTCCCACCATGAAATCACCGTGATATTTCTGCCTTATCTGTTAACCACTGCCAGTTACAGCCAATTCAAAGTTTACATGCAAAGTCCACTATGGACATTGCAAACCATCAAAAGTAGGGGTGGGGAAGGACATGTCCTGCAGAAGCAGGATCAAGTGGCTTAAATCAGGGATCCCTTAAGTCATAGAGTCAATATATCACGGAAACAGATACTTCAGTTCAACCAGTCCATGCCGACCATAATCCCAAACTAAACTAGACCCACCTGCCTGCAACTGGCCCATATTCCTCCAAACCATTTCTTATTCCATGTGCATAGATCACTGAAAGTTGCCACCCAGGTTGATAGCGTTGTTAAGAAGGCGTACAGTATGTTAGGTTTTATCGGTAGAGGGATTGAGTTTCGGAGCCATGAGGTCATGTTGCAGCTGTACAAAAAACTCTGGTGCGGCCGCACTTGGAGTACTGCGTACAGCTCTGGTCACCGCATTATAGGAAGGATGTGGAAACATTGGAAAGGGTGCAGAGGAGATTTACCAGGATGTTGCCTGGTATGGAGGGAAGGTCTTATGAGGAAAGGCTGAGGGTCTTGAGGCTGTTTTCGTTAGAGAGAAGAAGGTTAAGAGGTGACTTGATAGAGACATACAAGATGATCAGAGAATTAGATAGGGTGGACAGTGGGAGCCTTTTTCCTCGGATGGTGATGGCTAGCACGAGGGGACATAGCTTTAAATTGAGGGGTGATAGATATAGGACAGATGTCAGAGGTAGGTTCTTTACTTGGAGAGTAGTAAGGGCATGGAATGCCCTGCCTGCAAAAGTAGTAGACTCGCCAACTTTAAGGGCATTTAAATGGTCATTGGATAAACATATGGATGATAATGGAATAGTTTAGGTTAGATGGGCTTCAGATTGGTTTCACAGGTCGGCGCAACATCGAGGGCCGAAGGGCCTGTACTGCGCTGTAATGTTCTATGTTCTATGTTATTCATGAACTTGTCTGAATGTCTTTTAAACATTTTAACTGTACCTGTATCCATCACTTCCTGTGGCAGTTCATTCCACACATGAACCACTAAAAAAAGTTGCCCCTCATGTCTTTTTAAACTATTCTCACTCTCACCTTAAAAATATGCCCCTTGTGTTGAAATCCCCAACCCGAGGAAAAAGACACCTGCCATTCATCTTATCTATACCCCTTATGATTTTAAAGCCCTCTGTAAGGTCATCTCTCGATCTCCTACACTCCAGCAAAAAAGTCAGAGCCTATCCAGCCTGTCCTAATAACTCAACCCTCTATTCCTGGCAACATCCCAGTAAACCTTTTCTGAACCCTCTCCAGCTTGTGATGGACATCTCAATTTTGTTAAGGAAAAGAATGAACTGTGTCTAGCATTACAAGGGGTAGGATGTTACAGTTAGCTGAGATATTCATGGCGATTTTGATCAACACAGATTTGGTGCAACCAGTAAATCAGAAACACAGACTGAAAACTCAAGGTCCTGAAGTCAGTTGTCTTGGGAATCAAGGCCACTGAAGAAATTAGAGCTTTCAAAGCATACAGCAGCTTACTTTCTAATGGATCAGTTATATTGATTGTCTGAAAAAAGGCTGCGAGCTGTGAGGTTGAGAAATGTTTCCAAATCTGTTCTCGTTGGGGTTGAGTGCATTAGCTTCTCACTGTAAGCAGCAGAGTACAGGGATAACAAAGCAGCAGACACCATGGGTGGGGATTGCAGCTGGAGGTTGGCTGAAGTATCTGAGGGCGGTATAAATGCAATGTGAGCGAGAGGCACAAAGTCCTTACTGGGCCCAACTTGCAGAGTCATTGCTGACTGGGTGTCACTATGCCTGTTTCTTCTCTCAATACTACGTGACTGACAGACTCAATTTCTTTTCCAAAAACACTTTGGCTGTCTCTCCCCCCAGCACTACCACCTCTGGCTATTTCAAAACTTACAGTACAGATGAAGGCATTTGGCCCATCACTCTTGTACTAGCTATTGATCCAGGTGCTCTCTTGCAGAGTTGTCTTCCCTCAGTGCTTCCTGGTCTGTTGGATGGACGACTACTATTTCTCTGCATAGCTATTGTGTTGGCCAATAACTTCCCTGGATGCAATTCCTGACCACTGGGAGGCAAAAGCCAACTGGCTTATGGGCAACTGTTTAGAGGTGCCATGCCCTGCCTGAAAGGATGCGAGATTGGTGGAAACAGTGACTTCAGAAAAAGGGGAAAGCAGATAAAAACCCCATGGGGAGTACATTGTTGAAAGAGTGGAGGAGAAAAGTATGGGGGGGGGTTGAAGAAGTGGGGAAAGAGCTAGCAGGGAAACTTTGGGGGGCTGAATGGTCTGAGAGCGGGAGGGGGTCAGGAAGAGGATTTGTTTGGGAATGAGGGAGGCCGATTAAAAAAAAGGGGACAGCTAAAAGCAGAGGAGGAAGGCAAGATCTCGGAGACTGTGTAAAGCACTTACCAGAAGCGGCCGCGCCATGCCCAGCGTCCTCCGTGCGGCTAAAGCTCGCCATGTATCAGCGCGTACACCCCGGGCTCAGCCCAAACCCCACACACACACACACACACACACACACACACACACACAGGCAGCGAGGGTTACACAGCCGGGACTCCTTCCTTATCCTCCTGGCCCCTGGTTCCCAGCTCCGACCCAGTCCCCGTCTCTCTCTATCGAGTCCAAACTTCACTCCAACTTTCTCTCTTGAGAAGTTTTCTTCCACTCTGCCCCCCATTGGCTCGCAGCCCTGGGGAGGTCCAGGCTAAAGAGATCTTCTCCCTTTCCCATTGGTTAAGGGGAATGTCAATCAGAAAGGTTTCGTTGATGGCGGGGTGGTTGGACGTTGAGGGCGAATGAGAGGTGAGGTTTGAGTGTTGATTTTAGGGAATTTCCTCTGTGTCATCCTCTATGTCTGTATTTGTCTGCACACACATGATAGAGATAGAGGGAGAGAACCAGTTACACATTGAGACAAAGGAATGTACAAGGGAGAGATCAGGATCCGGCAATGACGACTGATGAGGAAGTGAAAAACGGTGGAGATCTTTCAGGTCCAAACATTTACGTTTTTCGTGTACCTGAGTAAGGCAGCTCGAACAGGAAGGGTGTTTAAACAGCACTAGCTTCACAGTGAGCTGATTTCATTCGCCAAGCTTTTGCAACCAGGAAGCTAAACACCTTCAATTCACTGGACAATTCTTTTACAGCCCAAGACAAAAAAGTGAGGCTTGAATTGAAAGAGGAAACAGCCCCAGACTGTTTTCCGACAACGTAACCAGCCGGAAAATATTGGCACATCGCCAAGGAAGGAAACACTTGGAATTGTAATTGAGAATGATCGGTTTTAAGGAGTGGCACATTGCAGGAGAGCTGGAGGCTGAGAGATTCCACAGTTTCCAGGCGAGGTTACCCTGGGCCCAATGAAAGGTGGAGAAAAGGGAGGGGGACATATACAAAGGCCAAAGTTGGAAGAACACAGAACGAGGAAGTGAAAAGGGTGGAGATCTTTCAAATCTAAAAGTTCTTATGTTCCACTTCCGTGGTTAGGACGACTCTAACAAAAGGAAACAAGAGTGTGGAGCTAGAGGAACCCAACAGGCCAGGCAGCATCAGAGGAGCAGGAAAGTTGGCGTTTCGGTTCAGGACCCTTCTTCAGAAGTGGGGAGAGCTGGGAGATAAATAGAGGGAGGAGGGGTTGGGCCGGGGAAAGGTAGGTGGGATGGTGCTAGGTGTTCCCCTGATGCTGGCTGGCCTGCTGTGTTCCTCCATCTCCACACTGTTGTCCCTGACTCTAGCACCTGCAGTTCTTGCTATCTCCAAGTGATTTACAACAGAAAGAACATTCCTCTTTGAGGGCTGTGCAATTGCAGGGGGAGGGTTTTTTGGACCCTATCCCCAAAGTCAGGAATGGAGTCAAAAACTAAGCCAGTTGGCATGTTATTTAGACACTCCCCAACCTCCTGACTGAGACCAATCAAATGAGTTAAAAATCTTGTCAAGGGCTCATTCCAGGGAAGCATGGACTATCTAAAGGGTCACCTAGGTTTCAGGGGCTTGCCCCTCCCTCTCTCCATCTTTGGTCTGCATTGTCCCGAATGGGCTTCACATATAAAGTAATCAATTGGAAAACACAGGTGATTTACTGATAGTGGTTAATAGATCAAAAAATACCCCCCACAGCTGCCACCATATGCCCAGCATTGTGAGGACAGAAGGTTAAGGAGCAAGGCTGCAGCTAGCATTGGGGCACCACTGGCAGATTTTGGGCCCATGGGCGATGGGGGGGCAATGGTCTATGCAGGAAGGGTGGACCCCAAGCAGCAGGAGGAGGGAGGGGAAGAAACAGTATAGAAAATAAGTGCAGGAGAAGGACATTTAGCCATTTCAGCAGATCATTCAATCTCAGTATCCCACTCCCGTTTCTCCCGTTCCCCTCCATCCTTTTATCCACAAGGGCCACATCCAGCTCCCTCTTGAATATATCAAACAAACTGGCCCCAACAGCTTCCTGTGGGAGAGAATTCCACAGGTTCACAACTCAGTGAAGAAATTCTTCCTCATCTCAGTCCTGAATGGCTTACGCCTTATTCTTAGACTACGACCCCTAGTTCGGGACTTCCCCAACATCAGGAACATTCTTCCCACATCTAGCCTGACCAGTCCCATCAGGATTTTACATGTTTCTATGAGATTCCCCCCTCCCACCCATTCTTCTAAATTTGAGTGAGTACAAGCCTAGTCAATCCAGTCTTTCCTAATATGTCAGTCCTGCCATCCCTGGAATCAGTCTGGTGAACCTTCACTAGACTCCCTCAATAGCAAGAATGTCCTTCCGCAGACTAGGAGACCAAAACTGCATACAATGCTCAAGGTGTGGCCTCACCAAAGCCCTGTATAACTGCAGCAAGACATTCTTACTCCTATACTCAAATTCTCTCACTATGAAGGCCAGCATACTATTAGTTTTGCTTAAGAAGAGTAAGAAATGGTAGAAAGCCATAGAGCAAAGAGATTTGGGAGTCCTTATCCATGAATCTCAAAAAACTAGCATCCAAGTTCAGCAGGTAGTAGGGAAGGCAAATGGAATGTTGGCCTTTATTTCAAAGGGAATGGAGTAGAAGATGGGGAGGTCTAGCTAAAATTATACAAGGCACTAGGCAGGCCACACCTAGAATATTATGAACAGTTTGGGCCCTTTATCTGAGGATATTGGAGGCAGTCCAGAGAAAGTTCACTAAGTTGATACCAGGTATGGAGGGACTGTCTTATGACGAGAAGTTGAGTAGGCCGGGCGTTTACACAATCGGACTTTAGAAGAATGAGAGGTGACTTTGTTGAAACATACAAGATTCGTAGGGGACATGACAAGGTAGATGTAGAGAGGTTGTTTCCCCTTCTATGAGAGCCTAGGACCAGAGGGAATAATTTCAGAATAAGGGATTGAACATTTAAGACAGAGATGAGGAGGAATTTCTTCTTTCAGAGGGTAGGATTATGTGGAATTCTTTACTGCAGTGGCTTTTAAGGCTGAGTCATTAAGTGTATTCAAGGCTGAGACAGAAAGATTTTTAATCAGTAAGTGAATTGAGGGTTATGGAGAAAAGGCAGAAAGTTGAAGTTGATAAATATCAGATCAACCACAAACTCATTGAATAGTCAAGGAGACTCGATGGGCTGAATGGCCAACCTTTATTTCTACATCTTATGGTCTTACCAAAGTCAATGGTAGACTGGTTAGCAAGGTTAGATCATGTGGAATGCAGGGTGAACCAGCCATGTGGATACAGAACTGGCTCGAAGATAAAAGACAGAAGGGCAGCGGTGGAGGGTCGCTTTTCAGACTGGAGGCCTGTGACCAGCAATGTGCCACAAGAATTGGTGCTGGGTCCAGTGCTTTTTGTGATTTATATAAAACAATTTGGATGTGAACATAGCAGTTATGGTTAGTAAGTTTGCAGATGACACCAAAATTGGTGATGTGGTAGACAGCAAAGAAAGTTCTCAGAGTACAATGGGACCTCGATCAGTTGGGCCAATGGGCTGAGAAGTGGCAGATGAAATTTAATTTAGATAAATGTGAGGTGCTGAATTTTGGAAAGGCAAATCAGGGCAGGACTTAGACACTTAGTGGTAAGGTTCTGGGGGGGTGTTGCTGAACAAAGAAACCTCAAAGTGCAGTTCATAGTTCCTTGAAAGTGGAACCGCAGGTAGATAGGATAGTGAAGAAGGCGTATGGTACGCTTGCCTTTTTTGGTCAGTGCATTGAGTATAGGAGTTGGGAGGTCATGTTGCAGCTGTGCAGGACATTGGTTAGGCCACTTTTGGAATACAGTGTGCAGTTCTGGTCTCCCTGATTTAGGAAGAATGTTGTGAAACTTGAAAGGGCTCAGAAAAGATTTACAAGGATGATGCCAGCATTGGAGGGTTTGAGCTATAGGGAGAGCCTGAATAGGCTGGGGCTATTTTCCCTGGAGCATTGGAGGCTGAGGGGCAACCTTATACAGGTTTATAAAATCATGAGGAGCATAGATAGGGTAAATAGACATGATCTTTTCCACTAGGGTGGGGGAGTTCAAGACTGGAGGCATGGGTTTAATGTGAAAGGAGAAAGATTTAAAAGGAAACTAAGAGGCAACTTTTTCGAGCAGAGGGTGATGCGTGTATGGAACGAGCTACCAGAGGAAGTGGTGGTGGTGGGTACAATTACAACATTTAAAAGGCATTTGGATGGGTATATGAATAGGAAATGCTGGCAAATGGGACTAGATTTATCTAGGATATCTGGTCGGCCTGGACAAGTTGGACCAAAGGGTCTGTTCCCATGCAGTACATTTCTATGACTCTAAACCATCAACTCTCAGAATGTACTGTTTGAATCAAAATTACCTGGAGATGGCAGAGACGCAGTGGGTGTTAGTGACTGCGTTTCTCTAGACAGACAATCACAGACACCTGCATTCTCATCAGCAAAGACCTTGCATCTCACAGCACTGATTGCCAAGCCCAACTGGTTGTCATCACAGTCAGTGGGTCTTTGGAAGTATTCAATTCAGACAACTTCCAAAAGATCAGCTTTGGAACTTAGTGGGAATTTGCGAATGACTGCACACTACTGAATCTCTCAGGTCACTGATACCTTCTTTGCCAGAGTTGGACAGTGCATGCATTTCATAACAGACATTCCCTAAAAGGACAGAGGGCATTAGGTTTCACTGCCATCACTGGACTGCCCCACTGTGGAACACCACCAGTCTCACCCATGTGGCCCTCAAGCCCCCCCAGCCTAGTGACTAGCCAGTGAGACCTATCACTCCCTCAGCTCCACTGCTTTTTGACCACATTCAGTGTTTGCTCCATATGTTTGATGGTATGTGCCCGCACTGACTTCTTATTCCCCTGGTACTGAAAGCAATAATTTGAGAAGAATTAATTCACTGTAAAGCACTTTAGGATGTATCAAGATTGAGAGAAGCATTATATAAATGTACGCATCTTTTTTTCCAACACATCAGTAATTCTTTTGTTCATGTGCTCAGGTTAATAATTGTTGAAAGGATTACATCATATTATGCTCAGTGAGTAATCCTAATTGTTGAATTAAATCATTGTGAATTACTTGTAATCACCACTATATGTCACTGTTGCTTCATTTTACTAAATCTGACCCTCAAATTCACAAACTCAATAAGAATAAAAATTCCACTCTTAAATATTGTTCTAGACCAGCCCAAATCAACAACTTATATCCTGGCTTCCTGAGAAAATCTATCAATTTTGCAAGAAAAGGTATGGTAGTCTATTTAAGAAACACTGGACCCAAAATGCCTAACAATTGATGATTGGGGTCACTTGCAGAGTAG